GAAAGGTGGGTAGTTAAAAAAAAAAAAAAAAAAAAAAAAACTTATATTTTAATGTTTTGTTCTATTTATTTTAAAAAAAAAAAAAAAAAAAAAAAACCCTTTCACTGACCTGTAAGACCTTGAGGAAAGTAGCGGTTATCTTCTTCCCGACGAAGTCGATCCAGATGCGAGCGATTGCACGATCGTACGGCTGTACGGGCATGAGCCCGCCACGTGGCAGTCCATCTACTCCGATGCTGCCACGTGGAAATGCTTCGTCCAGGTACTCTGCCACCACCATGGATTCGAACAGGCTCTTGCCGTTGTGAATTATGGCGGGAACCAGTCCACGTGGATTTGCCGCCAAAAGTTCTGGCGGCTTATTGGACAGATCGACCTCCACTTGCCGATATGCAATTCTCTTCTCCTCGAGAGAAATCCTCGCACGCTGTGCATAAGGACAATACCAAGAGGAGTAGAGGACCACCTCCCCCTCTCCCTCTCCTCCCTCTCTCTCCACGGTGCTTTCTCCGCTGGTCATCGTGATGACCTTGCTGGCCGTCGATCTCGTCTTGTCCCTTGGCGGGACTCTCCCGCTAACGAAGAAATTTGGCGGGAAAGTCGTTGGAAGGACACTTGGACGCTGAAGAAGGGATGCTGGAGGAGGAAGAAAGAGGGAGGGGAGAGAGAGAGCGTGCACAGAGGGTGAGCAACAAGCAATCTTTGCGGAAGCGATGGACGGCAATGATATAGCACTCGCACAAGAAAGAGAAATTGTCGTTGACGTCATTCCTGATTGCGTCTGTGTGTGAACGTGTGTGTGTGTCTCTGTCTGGATATCTGTGCTCGCGGGTGTGCTCGCGGTCGCGCGTATAATACCCCTCTCTCTCTCTCTCTCTCTCTCTCTCTCTCTCTCTCTCTCTCTCTCTCTCGCTCGCACGCTGGCTGGCTGGCTTGCTTACGTCCTCTCTGAGAGCATATGCATACGAGGACGTCCCTGGCTGTATCGAACTGCAATCGCGGCTGGTGCGGCGTGCATCTGACCGCAGTTACGTCCAGGGGGGAAGTCGAAAAAGTCCTCGCGATTAACAATCGACGTGGAAACAAGAAGTTGAAGTAAATTACTCACGATCACATGGCTGGCAGACACAGCATGCACGCATGCATGCAAGGGACAACCAACCCACAGCGTGCATGCAAGGCACATGCAAGGGACAATTAACCCCCTACGAAGTCGAGAGCAAAGCGGCAATTACCAAGTAGTGAGGTCGTGAGATCTTTCTTCAGATCCGATTGGCGGGAACCGGTGTGCGCCCGAAACCAGGTCTAAACGCCCCTTCAATGGGACTTAAGGGCCTCGCCCCACCACACAACACTATACATGTATCTGGACGTCAGTGTCGTCCGGATACTTTCAAAATGTTGGGGGCACCTGGCCGGAAAAGCCTTCCATTCAAATGCATGTAGAATGTTCTTCTTTTTCTTTGTTGGGGAAACTGCATCTGTGGTCCTTCGGGACATCCGTTAAAATTGGAGCGATACAGAGAAGATTAGCATGGCCCCCTGCGCAAGACACGCATAAATCGAGGGGAAAAAAAAAAAAAAAAAAAAAACCTGCATCTGTGCCCGGTCCAGCACCCAAACTTGCATTTATACCCAGGCCCTGCCTTTTCCCATTTGCCAACTTATTCATCTATACCCAGGGGCCAAGTCCCACTAGCAGCGTTGAGCTACGTCAAGGCCTGAATGTGGACGCTTTTGCGGAGATGTGCAGAAATGGTGTTGAGTTTCCTGAACTGCACGTCTCCGCAAACACGTCCAGATTCAGGCGTTGAGGGAGCTCAACGCTGCGAGTGGGACTTGGCCCCAGACACGGCCTTTTCCCATGTGGCAACTTACACCCATACCAAAAAAAAAAAAAAAAAATAATAATAATAATAAAAATGAAAGGGAAACTTACACCTATACCCAGTCCCACGGGCCCTTTGTTGGGGACCACAAAATTATGCTTATTATGCCCAGGAAACGGGCAGGCAAAATTGGGTGTGCACACAATTTGCACGGGCATGAGCATAATTTGAGCATTCCGGTAGTTGGGTATAACTGCAAATTGGCGGTACCAACCTTGGCCCAATAATTTGCGCAGACCATTTCCCAGGTACAGATGCAAGTTGGGCATCAGGACTGGGTGGGTATAGCGGGTATTCCCATCCGTAAGTAGGGTAGGGTACAGATGCAATTTTCCCCTTTTTTTAATAATTTGGCCCATTTCTTGATTTATCCTTGCGCAGGGGGGCATGCTAATCTTCTCTGTATCGCTCCAAATTTAACGGATGTCCCGAAGGACAAAAGCATGTAGAACTTCGAGTAGTGGAGCGAGGTCCTTAGCCCCCGCCGGTGAAGAAGACGGATCACCGCTCCACAGGAGAGGATTGACTGCCATCCCACCCCTTGTCACTTCTTTTTCTCTTTTCATCGGGAAAATTGCGCCTGTACCCCACTTAAAGTTGGCAATACCGGCTATACCCAGTCCAGCGCCAACTTGCATCTATACCCGGAAAATGGTGGGTGGAAATTATTTGCATCCCCAGAACCAGGGTCAACGTACCCCAAAATTGCTCTAATAACCAACTACCGGAATGCACAAATTATGGACATACCCGGGACTGAGGTGGACTGGCCAAATTATTCATACAAGTGGACCCGCCGCAGCGCCGCTGCGGCAGTGGAGGGGGAGAGGAGAAGGAGGGAGGGAGGAGATCGAGGAGGGAAGAGGGGGAGTAGACGGGGGGGACGGGACAGGAGGGAATGTGACAGGGAGAGGGTGTATCGGAGAGGAGAAGGAGGGAGGGAGGAGATCGAGGAGGGAAGAGGGGAAGTAGACAGGGGGGACGGGACAGGAGGGAATGTGAAAGGGAGAGGGTGTATGAGATGTGGAGGCATTGAGCAGCAAACGGTTATGACCACATAGTCCGGTGGCATGCTGCAGAAAAATGTCACTAATGCATAAAAAAGATGGGAAGAGTCCTTGATTGTCTTGTTCTGTGTTTGTTTTTTTTTGTGTCTTTCTCCCTGT